CGGCAATGTGCCGGTTCAGATGAATCATGGTGGTGCTAATGGTGGCAAGAAAGGTGGAAATGGGAATAATAATGGTGGAGGGCAAGTTCAAGGTGGTGGAAAGGGCGGCAAGAATGGCGGAGGGGGAGGCGGCAATGGTGGTGGTCAAAGCAAGAATGGTGGTGGTGGTGGTGGTGGTGGGGTTAGTAATATTATTGGTAATGGGGCCAAGAAAGTGGGTGGAATGAATGATGGGCATAATCCTCATCCTCATGGCATGCCAAATATGATGGCCATGAATGGTGGTGGTGGTGGTGGTGTGGGCCCCATGGGAAAAATGCCGATGGGCCACCACCAAATGCAGGGAGGGCATATCGGTAATATGCCGATGGGCCATCAAATGGGCAATCTTGCAGCCGTCCAAGGCCTTCCCGCCTCTGCCGGTGCCGGTGGTGGCGCAGCCTACTTTCAAGGTGGCGGTAGCGGCGGTGGTGGTCCCGCCGAGCACATGGCCGGGAATCCGTACTTCCAGCAGCAGCAGCTGGCGGCGATGATGATGAACCAGCAACGGGCGAACGGGAACGAGCGGTTTCAGCCGATGATGTACGCCCGGCCGCCGCCGGCCGTGAATTACATGCCGCCACCGTATCCGCCCTACCCCTACCCGCCGCCACCTGGCGACCGCCCCGACCAGTACGCGATGTTCAGCGACGAAAACACCAACAGCTGTAACGTTATGTGAGAATCGAACGATCGGTGATTTGTGTAGGGCTTTGGTTCTGTTCAGTTCATAGTTTTTTTTTTTTTTTTTTTCTTGACTTAATTTCTAGTCTTGATGCCATAATACACATGGAAATGTTTTCTTTTTTTAGTTGGATTGTTTTCTTTTGTTACTTATTCTGCATCCTAAGTTTTAGATTCAGTTTTTCAATCATAGGAAGTATTTAATAGTTATTAATATATATAATAAAGTTTGGAAGATATAAATAAATGAATATTAATAGAAAAATGGGATTTTATTTAATTGGATTATGTCTCTTTTTATGGCTATTTTTTTTCTTTTTTGAGTATGATATTACCACCACTTCTTAGATAAAGTCAAATTACAAAAAGCCCCCTTATGTTTGAAGAATTGCAATCAACTCCCTCAATTATAAATTTTCTTACATATTCACTCTTACAGTGTCAAATTCAACACAATCTTCTAGATTTCGTGAAATGTTTTCTACTTTGTACACGTTTATGCAAAAATGCAGTTTAAAGGGGTACAAACTGAAGAATATTCCACATAATCTAAAAGATTCCACTAAATTTGACACTGCAAGAATGAATGTGTAAGAAAATTCATAGTTCAGGGGTTAATTGTAATTACCCAAACATGAGAGACATACCAATTTTACCTTTATCTTATGAGATCATCTTATATCAAAATGTGAAGCTCGAATGGGGTAAAATGAGTACAAACTAAATAATATTCCACATAATCTAGAAGTTTCTATTAAATTTGACACCACACGAATGAATGTATAAGAAAATTCATACTTAAGGAGTTGATTGAGTGATTTTTTCGTAATATAATTTTTTATAGTTTAGAGTAAAAAGATGTAGCATTTACATATACAAGGTAACTTACTGTAAAAACAAAATTAACGGCGCTGAGAATTGACACGAATTTTGTATTGTCTAGTCTTATCAGATGAAAAATAAATCAAATAAAACGTCAAAAAGGATAGTTTTCCAGTGTGGGAGACCCCACCATTACCTTTCCTACACTGACCCGTTGCGATTGAGCTGATCTGTCAATGTTTCACAGATTGGAGCACATTTCTGTGGGTCCCATCTCATGTATCTAATCAGACAGTGCCACGTGTGGGTCCGACTGCTGTTGTAACCTTTTTTACCCAAGTACTACTCTTTTTCAGCTTAGCTTTAAATGAGTTGTACGTTGGCCTGTAGCTAATTTTTTTTTTTTTAAATAAAATTAATTTACTTGATTTTGAATGATTACTATTATTAAATAAGTATGTTTGAGTAATATACGAGATGTCATTTTATTTTTGTTATTCATTTTTATTTTTTTTATTCAATAAATAAAAATACACCTTCACACAATAATTGAAGACCTAATTATATAATATTTTATTTTGTATGGTGACCCCTCAAAGAAGTCATTTATTTCAGTCTACAGTGTTTGGTTTTCTCAGATATCTCAAAACACAATAAAAGACACACACAAAGTGATAAAATAATTATTGTTAAAAAATAATTATTTAAAAATAAATAAATTAAGATCCATCATAATAAAAACTAAAATTAATCATAATTACTCCAGCCCCTGCAGTTTGTAAATATTTTACATATGTACATCTAGTAAATGGTGTCAATGTAAGAAATCTATTGTACGAGTAAAAATGTAATTATGAAAAATTGAGGGACTTTTTCATAAATAAATTTTGCCTCAAATGGAAGTTGTAATTTACCCAATGTATATAAAATGATAAAGATACCAAGTAATGTAAACAAGATATAATTCATCGTTCGTAATGTGAACACACGAGCTATTTTTCACATTTAATTTACACATATTAACACACGAATAATACGAACTCATATATAAACTATGTATAAATTTATATACAAATGAAACCAATAAAATTATATTAATTTAGTATAATATTAAATTATCAAACTAATAATTCACTACGATCACACCGAATCAAGAATTGGAGTATATTATTAATTTATCGAGATTCTAGTATATATAAATCAATTTGAGTTATGAGTTAGAGTTGTGTTAAAGTTGATTTAAGTTGAAGAAAAGCTGCCATTAATTATGGTAGATCACGTGCTTTTTGTGCATGATGAGAGACACCAATCATGTTTACTACAATCATCATCTTTCATTAAAGTGTCTATCTTACAATCTTTGTACAAGAATAGAATCATTACATGTTTTTTTTTTTTTCAAAAAATAATTATATACATATAATTTGATTTAAATTAAATTTTATATAAGATTTTGATCACATAAAATAAAATTAATATGCAGTCAATTATATTGCATCGTACACTGTATCTTAATACTTATTCTCCCACTTGGTAACTTAATCAAGAATTAACTTATAGCTTATAAGTTGTCTTGATTCAACTTGTCCAGACAAATGGTACCATTAGTCAGAAGTATAATAGTACTAACTTTTTGTCCCATAACGTTAGGGTTTTACTAACTTCAATCGTAATTAAATTATATAATAATAATTATTATTATTATTATTATAGTGATTATTCTATATTGATTAATTTATTATATATATATTTTTAATTATTATTCAATAAATTCGTACAAATAGGCATGTGAAAGAATCAAATAGACACTGTCCCCTAAAATCCTAAATTGGTCTTGGAATAAGCATAATTAACACATACTACTTAGTATCCTACCCCCTACCTACCCTATTCTATTAATTAATTTAATTAGTAATTAATAAGTTTTAAAAATAAAATAAAAATTGACATAATCTATATAACAATTTAATAAAGAAACATTGCCTTCACGGCTAATTAGATGTTACATCTGAATATTTACACAATATGAATTTCAATCGTAAATCTACACATAATGTACGAATGTAGACGATGATTATTTAATCAAATCGACGGTTGAAATTCAGTCGACGTAAATAACCAAATATATCATCTAATCTGCGGAATTAAAAGACTGGATTAGTACTTTTGGTTATTAGAAAATAGATTAGAATAAAATAAATGTAAGAAAAATGACAAAAGAAAATGGGATTAGTTAAATCAAATGATAGAAGTCAAAAAATGAGGGGATAATTCCGAGGGTTCTCCATTCAAAGCTCAAATTTCAATGTATTATTTATTTATTTAATTAATTAATTTAGCAGAATATCACATGAGAGAGGGGTGGGTGGAGCTGACCGCCGGAAGCAGCCGCTATGGCCCAGCCACCACCCGCCACCACAAAACCCTCATATTCCGCCACTGCCCTTTATTTCAGCCGTCGGTCTCCATTATTAATATTTAGGGTAAAATTCATTTTGCACCCCTGTACTATGATAAATATATCGTTTACCCCCCTGAAGTATTGAAAACATCAAATACCCCCCTGCCGTTAGTTTTTTTCTTATAATTTCGTTAGTCAAACCCTTTGACCGACTAAAGTCTCTGACTTATAAG